GTATATGACAGTATGCTCAACTATTTCAAAGAAAGAGACACTATGGTAGCTACTGTTATATCAGGTTGTCTTGTGGTGAAATACTGTGTTACTTAAATTGGTGTTTTGATCTGCTTTGCTATGTCCTCTTTTGTCTTAATCTCTTAAAATAAGTAAAAATTAAAAAATTTAAAAACAAAGTAGGAAACTCTGAGTGCTCTGAAATGGGCTAGGACTCTCATAAAGAGACATCTATGCTCCCCAAAAGAGTTCAGGGTTCTCCAGACCAAGACTGGACAGCACAGATGACCCTACTGATCCACTTCCCTCCCAACCGACTGCCTGTTCTTCTCCACACCTGTCCACTCGAAGACACTGAGTTTAGGCTCAGAAGGCCAGGGAGTTGCAGGTCATAATAGCAAAGGCCTGTAAATCCAGCCCTCGGAAAGACGACGAAGCAGGAGGATCTCCTAGAGTTTGAGGTCAGCAGGGCTACAAAATGAATTCGAACTCACTATGAGTGAGTGAATTTGGAACATAGAGACCTTGTCTTTAAAACAGAAAACCAAACCACAAAACGTTCTGGAAACTACAGGGGCCCAACATCCTCGCAAATGAAGCCTCCTGGCCAGGGAGTTGGATTCTACACGACCTGGGAGTGAGGACAGCGCCATCTCCCAGCTGCTTCCTGTCTTCAGGTCCTTTCCTGGGCCTCTTGCAGGCCAGGAAACTTGACATCCAGGACAGGAGACGCCTTGGACTTTGGTGGACAACGCTCTGTGCTTCCCTCACTTGAGGGCAGCAGGCCTGCTCGGCGCACGCAGGGTCCACAAGGCGCGATGGGGACGCGGCCAGCAGGGAGCCATCTCCAATGCTCTACGGCTTCTGTCCCACCACCACCTTTGGCCGCCTTTGCTTGGGTCTCTCGCGACAGGCCCAGGAGCTGGTTCCTGCGAGCTCTGTGGCCGTGGCCTGGAGTCCTCACCTCCCAGCGGGCCGCCCTGACCGCGCTCGCACCTGGCCCGCGCTCCAGGTGGGCAGAAGCCCCTGCACCAGGGCGGCGGAGGCCACGATCTTCAACGCGGCCGGCAGGGGGTGCGGAGCTGCTTCCTTCCTGCCTGAGCTGTCACCCCTCCAGTCTCGGAATTTTGGTGCCCCTCTCTGCACCGGAGCGACTAGACCAGAACGATTGCTTACTGGTCTTTTACCAGCCATCACTGCTCCCCACTCCCATCCCCTCTGCTGCTCCACTTAGAGCACAATTTTCCTTCCACTGGGTTCCAGGGAAGCATATCTTTTGGAAGCCTGTTGCAGAAAAGCTTGCATCTGAGGTCAGCAGTGCACGCTGGAGAGCACACGGGGGCGCCAGCGGCCCGCCAAGGGACGACCTGGTGAGGGATGCCTGCAGGGGCCAGGAGCCTTCAGTGGTTTGTCCATCCCAGGTTCTGAAGGAGGGACAAGCTCAAGTTTGTGTACAATGACGACTGTCAAGTACAGCAATCATTTACAATGGGACCTACTAACATCCCCTTTAGGGACAAATAAATGACAGATAAGTGCTCACCTAATAATATGAACATGGGTTTATAGTATCCAGTGCTTTTTAACCAAAATGAAACAATTATTCTAGACGATTCGAGAAAATATAAGACAAGAATTTAACTCCAGCGCACTCCTTTATTTGGAAATGCAATGTTTATCTGAAATGTAAATTTCCTCGGTCTATCTGGCCACAGCCTAATTCAGGTATGACTAGAGCAGGTACAGAGCTGTGCCTATTTGTGACCCACAGAGGCAGTTAATATTTCCCTTCCTCTATCCACCTTGCTTTCATGAGTCTTCCTGGGAGCCAAGCATTTTTTGAAAGAAAAAGAGGTAATGTCTTTAAATGGGAAGCCAGGTTTGCATGGCAGTAATCCCAGCACCCTGGGAGACTGGGGCAGGAGCATACAAATACTTAAATCCTAAGGGATTTAAGGAGACAGTATTAAAAGGAGGGGAGGCTGACAAGTAGCTCAAAGGGAAGGCCTTGAGTTCAACCCCTTGTACCACAAAAACAAAAACAAAAACACCTTAAGTAAAAAAAATGGTTATAAATTCTAGCCCAACTTTCCACAATATGTTAGCATTCAGAGTATCTCATGAAGGGCCACTATATCCATATCTAACACCTAATTCTGTTCCTAACCTCTATAAATATAAGGCAGTGGAAGATGGAAAAGAGGCACTAATGAGCAGATTGTCACTGTGAGACCTGTAGTTAGCCTTTTAGAGAGCACTCTGTGAGATAGAGTGGATTACAATACAGTCCCGATTGAAGAGTGGCCAAGTGCGTGATACTTATCTGCTAGCTTCCTATTTTTATTGACTGAGGATCCATCCTAGGTTTTTAACTGGCTTTAGGTGCTCTCCGGTGTATGCAGGTGAATGTGACTGACAGTGGCATGTGAGTCTCAAGGCACAGAACAGCTCTTTCTAGGCCAGTGCCAGGTGGCCTGCTCCAAAGGTTCTGGTGAGCACCATGTCAGGTGTTTCCAGTTCTCCTGGAAAACTGAAAACCTGGTGTGAAGACTTAAACTGATGGGTGCATTTTCTTTGTGCCTGAAAGTAAATTTATTGACTCCAAAAGTGATACCCTAAGGTACAGTTTCCTTGTCAGTGCCTGAGCATCTGCTCAAGGGCAGACCCAGAGACATTTCTGCTCTCCTGTCTTTGGTTTTCCTGTTCCCAAGTAGAGTTAACCACCACCAACTCTGTATCCACACATAGGCTTTGCCAGAGATGGGAAATGCTGAGCAAGAAGTGTTTCAGGATCCTTTCAGCCTCTCTCCTCAACAGAGTCAACAAGGACGTTTTAGTACTGGGTGAAGTAAAAATAAAAATAAAGAGGAATGAGCCAACAGATGGAGAGGGGTGAGTGCCAGGAGCAGGCACCCAAGCCCTATGGGGAAGTAGAGGATTGGGACCTTACCTGGAGAAGGTCTCAGTGGCCCAAGGCCCTGAGGCTGGAAGAGCAGACAGGAACATGGGGGACTTGAAGAACCTATTCCGGGTACAGCTATGATCCAGAAATAAGGAAAGACTGACATGCAAATTGCCCAATTAAGAAATTTGTGTGATAAATGATTCATATAATAAATAAATGATTCATATAATAAAGTCCCATTAAAAAAACTGTGACAAAGATATAAACATGGAAAAGTCTGACAAAGGAGCATGAAAGGTGACAATGGGAAGGAAATTATGCTATTTTGCTATCTGTGTCTGCTCTCCTTCCCATCAGCCCTTTCCCTGAGATTTCTGTCCACCTTGTGAGTGTAGGCAGCGCTTTCTGTTCTGAAACTGCACCCCTTCCTCCAGCTTGTGATTTCTCTGGAGTCTTCTACAGATAGTTTCACTACTAAAGGTCCTTGGGACTCTTTCCTTTGAGGCTCATTCCCTTCAGTTCTCATTTCCATTTCTCCAGCCTGTAATACTAAACCTGTGTAATCAACAAAACTTCTGCTACCATATGCAGTCACTTCTTTTATACAAACATTGGTGGCTGGGGATGTAGTTCAGAGGCAGAGAGCTTGCCTGGCAGGCAGGAGACCTGGATTCAACTGCTAATATCACATAAAATGACACGAACACTGGAGATAATATTGAGGTAATAATTGTGCCTTTTTTCTAAAAGTGAAGAGAAGATTGTTCACTTTTGTACAGATGACAAGCAGTGGATTCAGGCCCCCTCTTGCTCTGGGAGGCTCCCAGGAGGTTGGTATTAAAGGTGAGCTTTATGGAGCACATGGAGCCAGGGTAGATGGTTGGTGGGGATGATCCCTCTTTGCCAAATAAGCTACATTTTGTTGCTACGTTTGTTTTACTTCTTTTTTTAATCCCTAAATTTCTACTAAAATCTTATTCACATATTTCAGTTTTCAATGCCAGCTATGTTACAGAGTAGTAGGAAAATGTTTTGCTCCCAAATTACCACCCAACTAGGAATCAGAAGAGTAGAGTAAATCTCTGAAGGCAAGGGCCAAGACTTTATGATCTTACTGCTTTTCCCTCCTTGAAATTCCCTGGAGCCTATTCTTAGAGACCTGGGTTTATTACAGAAAACAGCAACTACATTCTGCCTTCCTTTAGACCAGAGCCTGGAAAGGACCGATAGGATGTCTGGGGTCTCTGGATCGAGAGGGTTGGAGCAAGCCCCAGATGAAAAGACAAGAACTACACGACCATTTCTCCTCATGATTTTCTCCTTTGCATGTCAATAACATGATTGGAAATGTTCTCTGCTAACTAGAAAAGCCATGAGAATAACTATCTTAAACACACAGATGTGAGCTTTCTCTCTCAAAGTCTCTCAAAAGTCACAGATGTGTAAGTTTTATTTTCTTCTTTGCGTTCTCTCCACTCTACACCCATCCTTCTGGTCTCCATGACCCCCTGCCCCACCCAGGGTGTGTGTGCATGTGCACGTCAGCGTGCCTTCCTCTATCTCTTCTTTTTCGCTCAAATTTGTGCCTTAATCTTTTGTAGTTACGCATACACTTACCTTTTCTTTGGTACCAGGGATCAAACTCAATGCTTCACACTTTCCAGGAAAGCACTTGAACCACTGAGCTAAATCCCTGGCTGCTACACTCAACTTTTTATCCTGTTTTTCGAAATATACTGGTTTTCAAATTAGTAGAATAATTAGATTTGACTTCTAAATTTTTTTGATTTCCAAATTTTTGATGATTTCTTTAGAGTAAGTCTCGTCTTAAATTATCTTTCATTACCAAATTTCTACATTTGTCTCAACTGAAGTCAGCTTTCTTTAACAGTTACAAGCTATGGAACCCACAGTTATAAGTATGCAATGTAACATTCAATTTTCAGATATTTGTGTCTAAGCGCTACCACAGTGAAGAAGAGGCAGGAGCTGTCCCTAAATCTATGGTCACCCTTTGAGCAAATGTTTGTCTCCCTGCCAGGGCTTCAGTGTGTCCTTTCTTGCTATGGGTCTTGTTCCTGATACTTCACCTCTCCTAAATGTCTTTGGGATTTTCTGAAGTTACTTCCTCTCCATGATCAGAAGCTGAAGAGATTTCTAAATTCCACTTTCTCTCGCTTGGCAATTCTTTGCATATTCTCACACAGAGAATAGTATCTGCCAAAAACATTATGCCCAATGACATACAGAAAAGGATGTAAAGTCAGACAGAAATTTGTGACTGGAGGCCTGAAACAGAAAAAAAGAGAAGAGACACTACTTAGACACCACAAGTACCTGGCTGAGTTCTGTTTGGAATGAGATTGACTGAGGCCTAGTGTGCTTGTCCCCATGGGGCACTGGCAATTTGGGGGCCTGGAGAACTGGAGGGAGCGCCAGCTGGGCTCTATGGTGTCCCCGAAGGGTCAGTCTCCGTGGAAGAGTTAACTACCAGGGACCCAAGCTAAGGATTTACTCCTTCATTGCAGAGATCACTGCTATTTCTACATTATTTAATGCTTGGATTGAAGATTAACTTTATTTTGATTTTCCCAAAGAATCTTTCCTCCTGAACTCACCATTTCACTACCTCTCTTAACAGACACGTGGGCAGGTTCTTATGTGCTTTCTACAAGATCACTTCCTATAAATCCACTATGTGAATCAAAAATGGCACCCCAGCGTCTGTATTCCCAGATCCACTAGCAGCAGACAGGAGAAGCTCAGTATATTCTGGTGAGATGGTTGGTGAGGGACAGGGCAGGGATGCGAATGGAGGAGTGGGCAACAAGGTGGTACAAGAGTGACAGGAAGCGAGAACAGAAAATGAAGGAGGAGAAGAAAAGAGGGAAGAATGAGATGAAGGGAAGGAAAATAAAAGGCAGGAAGGGAAACAATGAAGTTTGTGAAGAGCATATTGAACTTCTGAACCAGTGGTGGAAAGGCCCAACGCCAAGCTTTTCCTAAAAACACTTCCTCCTACTGGCTGGGCCATCAAACCCCTAAACAAGCCTCAGCCTCAGGGCAGCAAATGGCCCCTTCTCCTTTGCCAGTTACTTCCAATCCTCACTCACCAGGCACTTGAAGCTCCAACACAGGGCTGCGCTTAAGGACATTTCCATCTTCTGTGGCTGCCTCACACCAGTAGGATCCAGAACCACTTTTTCCAGCAGTTAGGATGTGGTGCTCAGAGGATGTATTCCTGCCCCTCAGCGTCTTGTGGCCCATGTGGAAGGAGAAGTAAAGCTGCACGCCAGACCTCTGTGGGAGCAACTTTGTCTCACAGCTCAGCTTGGCTAGTTTCCTCTGCTGAAGTGGGGATCCTCTGCGGAAGGATGAGGTTAGCACTGGAGCTGGAAACAGCTCTGAAGAGAAAGTTGATAGGGGACAGAGTTGTCTCCTTCAGCATCAAGGTTCTTTCACAAGGTCATACCCTCTCCCACCTTGGAAACTTGTCTCCAAAAATTGCATCCATAAGCTGAATTCTTCCAGCTTACAAGACAGTCATTATGGGGGTTTCCTAACAGACATAATTAACACTATCAGCTTGCTTGCATCCATAGAGGGGAATTCCTTTATATGGCCCAATCTTCCCTGAATGGCCATGATATTATATAACTGCACCCTCTTGGTAATGATCTACCCAGAGTAGGCACTAGCTCACATCCTTGCCAGTTCAGTGATTCCTTACTTGTGCTCCTCTCTCAAAACAATAATTTGACACAGTAATTTCCTTTTCACAGGAATGAATTTTTTTTTGGGGGGGGACGGAAAAATGTCACTGGTGACTGTGGGTGTTAAGAGGAAGAAAGATCATGAAATAGTCAGAGCAAGAGCTACATGTAAACTTGGACAGGGGAAGCTGTTTAGTTTGCAGATGTTTAGAGAGAAGTAGGGCCAGAAAGGCTGTACTGTCCTTGAGAGACAGATGAAACCAGCTCCTAATATCTTGCTGGTTTTCACTTCCATGGAGCATTCATGAAATTCTACTGGGCTATTTTCTAATAATTCTTCTAGCTATCTTGAAGCAGTTTCTGTTCTTTGCAAACTAAAATCAAATTGATAAAATGGATCTTCATTATGTCCTGGCTTTGAGTTTAGCTCCTGTGATTATTGATAGGACTTTGTATACTGGAAAGAGCAACAGAAGGGACCCATTCACAGAAGCAGTTTATCTCTTATGAATTGAAATGAGGATTTAGATGATTTTTGCTGGTCCTTTGGATCTTTACAACTATAGCTCTACAACTATTTAGATACAATACTTTTCACCATCACAGGTACTCTTGTCGATGTGAAGTGGACAGGTAATCTTCCTTTGCCTGAGCAGTGATAGATGCCACTGTGATTCATGTTGGCTTTCAGAATAGTGAGTGTAGAATCTTGATAAGTATACTTAATAGGCTTTCCATTTTGATAGAAAACCACATTGTATACCAGCTTATTCTTCCATCCATGATACCTCAAGGTCAAAGGTTCTCCTTCAGTGAGGACTCTCTTGGAAGGCTGAAGCAGCAGCCAAGCTGAAAAGAACACAGACCCCAAAATGCGTGAAAACAATGGAGTTCCCAATTGACAAGAAAGGAAGACATCAGGTCTATAATGACAAGGAAGTAAACTCCACTGATGACCCTGGAAGAATGTCCAAAAGGAGCACAGTGCTGTGAACACCCTGCTCGGAGCCTTTGAGAGACTTTAATTGGAGCATGCTGCTAAGCCCGATCCATGAAACCGGTAGATAATAAGTGTGTTGTTTTAAATTTTTAAGTCCCTGATAATTTGTTAAACTAAAATGAAAAACCAAATGTATTCATAACTTCTGAAATATTTGTTAATAAGGTGACATACTTTAAGACAAAATAGCAATCATATCCAGATGTCTGTGAGCTACAGAATTGGTAGGAATACCCACACACAATATCATCAGCCAAAACGAATGTCAGGTCAAATGCTCTCCCTTTCAATATACACCTCTGTACATAACCATAAAACTTTCCTTAGTTTTTCTTTCCCTGTGGCTATTCATTTAGGTAAATTAAGATCAGGCTTTCAGAGACACAAGGAGACTATACAGTAGGGCTTTTCTCCCTTCAGAACATATCTAAAATGAAAGGCAGGCATTCCAGTGCTACACATAGAGCAACTTTTAGAGTGTTTGATGCTGCCATAGTGAAAAGGCAAGCCACAGATGTGAGACTGTATGTGCAGTGCTTGAAAAAAGACTCATTCCAGATATATAAATAACCGCTGTATGTCAATAAGAAAAAGACAGCTAATAATAGAAAAACTGTCAAAAGATCTGCCCAGATACTTTATAAAAGAATATTCAAATACATAATAGACATGTGAAAACTGTTGATATCATCGTTCTTAAGGAAACACAAATTAAAACTACAATGTGTTATTACTACACATCTACTACAATGGCAAAAGTTAAAACATTTAGTTTGGGTGAGCATGAAAGGAACTCAAACTCTTATCTTCTGTATAAAATGATAAATTATGCATTGGTACAACAGCTCTGAAAATCTACTTAGCAGTCTCTATGAAAGCTGAAATATACCAATTTTGTGACTCACTGGAAGTACCAATGAGAATATACCAATTCCACTCTTAGGAATTTTCCAGTGACAGGCATATATGTACACCAAAGTATTACAGATAGCAAAATTAGATAGAAGTTCATAGGCAGCTCAAAAGGAATCAGGCCAAGATAGAGTCAGAACATAGAGGAGACAAACCAAGCCTGTAGTTAAGGGTTAAATGGATAAACTGGGTCCCAAGATGGATACATAATCACGAGGCCTACAAGCCTCTGCAAAGATGAACAACAAAGGCCCAAAGCTTTGCTGTATCTTGCACTGTCGAAATCAAGCAATAATTTATTCTTAAAATGTAATTATTCATTTCCTCATAGATCTTTGCTTTTAGAAATCCAAATCAAGAGAAACACACAAAAAAATTACCACTAGATCCTCTTGAAGGAATTTCAAAGGATTTCTGATGAAGATCTTCATGGTCTATCTCTCACAGGCCCTTTGTAGGTCCAGTTGCTCCTGCAGGGTGTTTGTGGGCAGCTGCACCCTCTGGCCTGGCTTCTGGTCATAGTGGGTCAAGGCCTTCTGCACTGCAGCTGAGGTCTCTTTCTGGACCAAGGCCAGGACTGCGTTCTCTATGCAGGGCAGATCCCCACTGCTGATTGCACTGACATAGCTCAGCACCAGGCTCTCTAGACCTACATATAGAGAGCAAGGGATAATGCATGTTATAACATGAAAGAAAAGCTTCTTATCTGTGTAATTCAGCATGTCATTCATCATATTTTTCTCAAAGCATCAATATTCTCAGCATCACTCTGCAATTTGCTAGAAATGCAACAGTTTGACCTCTGTGTCAGATTAATTGAATTAGCTCTTCCAGTTCAGCAGTATGTGCATGTGATGTTTATGCCTGACAAAGATCAAGAATCCTGGTTCTAAATCACATAGAGTTCTGGTAAATATTTGCATGCATTTTAATAACAAGTACCATTAGGAAAAAGACTGTATCTCATCATCACTGTCCAAAGGGAGCCTTTGATCACTATGGAAGAAGAGATGCAATCACAATCAATGATACCACCATATTGGATAATAGACTAGACAATAACTTTCTTTATGTGTCGATACAATAGGGACTAGCACCTGGGCATGTGAACCCTTGTAATATAGCCATGAGATCTCAATTTTTAACTTTCTTGTATTTAGATTAATTTACCTTTAAATTCAAATAGCGACACTTGTATAGTAGCTGCCATGTCCAGTTCAGGAACGCAGTTTTGAGAAATAAAACTGGTTTCCCCTTTCGACTTTTACCATCCTTTTCCATTAAGAAATTTGAATAATAAAATATTTTATAAAGATTGGCACCATCTGCAATCTTACATAACAGAAGCAGTAGATTTATACTTTTCAAAGCTGAAGATAGGTTTGTTGTATTTCTTATTTTTCACCTTGTCAGAGAGAAAATAGGGGGAAGAGTACTTACGAGGCCTGTTGATCTTGATGTTTTCTGGGAGAATTTTGGTCCTGGAAGAGTTGAAGATGTAAGAACAGAATTCTGTAACTTGTTGCCTACATTCAGAGTCCATCTCATCATCGTGCAATGTCTCCAGCTTGTGCAGCATTTTTTCATCACTAGGCCTATTGAAGACAGAGCATTTCTTCTGCAGGAAGAACTGGATACAGAGTAGGGACAGATCAGCATTTTTCTCTCTCTCACTGGTGCCTGCAGGAAGATAAAAAAGGGATTTTCTTACTGTAAGGATTTGACCATTGTGGAAAAGGGCCATGTGTTTTTGGCTTTTTCAGGCCAGGTAGTCGCTGTCCTATGTATGCAGTTCAGTTTCTGTAGGATGATACATTCTGGAGACAATAAGTAGGTCAATGGTTACAGCACTGCTCTAGTAGCATTTATTTTATTTTTATTCTTTTTTATTTTATGGGAAAAAGTGAAACAAAATTTCATAATAAAATAATAGGAGAATAATAACAGTTAATATGCTGAATATCGTTATCTTTAAAATAGTTAATCAGAGTAGAAGATATGGGCATAAAAGATTCTCCAAACAAGGCTGGGGATTTAGCTCATTGACACAAGTACCTGCCTGGCAAAAGGTCATGAGTTTGATCCCCAGTACCAGAATATATTAATAATAATTCTACAAAAGACATTAATAGCATTTACTTTAGCAAGAGGCATTAGCCATCCTTTTTCTGTGGGCTAAAGGTTTCCAACAGTTGGACTACAACACTCCTTTTTTTTCTTCTTTTTTTTTGAGACAGGGTCTTGCTATGTGTTTCATGCTGGCCTCGAATTCATGGTAATCCTCCTGCTTCAGCCTCCTGAGAGCTAGGATTACAGCTGTACACCACCACATATGGCTCACTGTTTGTGCTTTGACCTAAAATATGTGTCTATTGTATTTCATAGTTTTTGATTAAATACAGAGGCACATGTCTTAAGCATGTTTGTAAAGCTAATTATAGCAAAAAGAAAGGTAAAAGAAAACAGAAACATATTCTTGCCCAAGCACGTTGGGGCATACTTGTAATTCCAACACAGGAAGGCTGTGGTTAGAAGATTGCTGTGAGTTTGAGGCCAGCCTGGGCTACATAAAGGAGTTCAAGGCCAACCTGAATTGCAGAGTGAGACTCTGTCTGAATAGAAAGACAGACAGACAGAAAGGAAAAAAGATCACACATGTTCTTTATTTGCTGATGAGCGTCTAGGTTGTTTCCAGAGCTTACTATTGTGTATTATGCTGCTAGAAATGTGAGTATGCACATACCACTACAGTCTGATGACTTTATCTCTTTCAGGTATACACCCAGAAGAGGCATAGCTGATATGATCATCTATCAATGAATGGGTAAAGAAAATGTGACCCATGTACACAAAGAATTTTATTTAGCCATAAAGAAGAATAAATTTGTGTTATTTTCAGGAAAATGAGTGGCTCATGGAACTCTCATGTTAAGTGAAATGAGCCACCAACAGCAAGTTAAATGTCACATAATTTCTTTGATATGAAAAATGCAAAATATAAATTAAAGAGTGAGATAAAGGAGATATGGTAAGAAATAGGAAAGTAGACTTTTGAGGAATGGGGAAAGAGCAAGGAAAGGGATGAAGAGGGCATGTGTTGGGGGGAAGAGTTCTAAAATGATCAATATATGACATAGATGTACAAATATCCCTAATGTAATTAAGACATGTAGTAAATACACACCAACAAAAAATAAACCTATTCCTTCAACAAAGAAGAAAATATTTTTAAATGAAATCTATTAATTCAAGTATTAAACATTAATTTCTGACAGCAGGTAGGTGGCAGCAATAGAAAACAGTATAAAAAAAGGATAAGTAGAAAAGTAAAAAATAATAATTTCTGATGTTTTGCTACCTCATTTCACCAATTATACATCTCTGCTACCTTGCTTTAGCTTCAGGACATTCTCCAGGTGGGTTTCAGCAGAGATGCTCTGTCCCTCTAGCTCCAAGTCATGGGAGAAATCTCTCAGCGCCCACACAAAGTCTGGGAAGAAGCTCACGAATCCAACCGAATCTTCAGTCTCATTGGTATTAGGAGAGGATTTTGCTCTGATCAGGCCTTTCAGCTCTCTGAAATAGCTGAGGAGCTAAGGAAAACTGGCAAAGATAACAGAACCTCCCATGCCATATTTATTCAACGAATTCCCAAAACTACATTTGCCAACATGAGTGCCTTTTCTTCAGTAGATACATGAACTTTCCCTGCACCTAAGTTACTGTTTATGTTTTCTGTTCTTGAGCGGGCTTCACCAGGATCCAGAGTCAGTGGCTGGTTTACTAACACAGGGCTCTGGCTTGCTTGTCCTGGTGTTCTAGACCATAAAAAGGATACTGCAGCTGGTCCAGGGCCCTCTGATTGATGGCTCCCATGCTGTTGTACACAAAAGTGCTGGCTCAGAAGTATTGTCAAGGCAAAGATCCAGGAGTCATTCTGGGGGTCACTCCGCAGGCCAGAACAATTTGGGTCATGAGTATTTTTTATTCTTATGTCACTTGAAATGTCATCAGTGGTAATATTATGATCATTTATTGATAATTTTAGACTATGTAGAAAAGGATCCCAATGTCAAACAAAAATGTCTGTTTTCTTTGAACTTTAATATTATTTTGATTAGT